GTGACTTGGGACACCCTAAATCTCCCAAGTGGCGACTCTGAAATAAATAAATAAATCCCCTTTCGATTGTCCTTAAATTGGAAAAAACTCTCTTGCGCCCTTGCGGGTGCGGAAAAAGGAGGTGTGACACTTATGAACTTTCCAAACCTTCAGATTGCCAACTTTCTACAAATAGAGTTAAATCATTCTAGGAACCTACAGATACAGATCTAGACATACGCCAAGGGATGAAATCACCATACGAACATACTAGAACAATCCAAACATGAATTCGAGGACGTTTATACAAAAGTCAAGCCTTGGTCAACTCTTACAACCTAAGCTTCCAACAGCGGAACTAAATGTTCTAATTCACTCCAAAACCTTCCCGAAATCAGACCAAACATCCTCGCAAGTCACAAAATAATACACAAACATAAAAGGAGCATCAAATAGGGGAATGGAGCTCAAATTCACAAATAACCGGCCGGATCGCTATAGTAATATTTAGTCTCTCCTTTCCAACACGAAAAAATACTTGGATAAGAATACCCTTTACTAAAGCATGAAAAAATTTCAAGAACGATTATTGGAGTTTGAACATTTATTAGTTGAAACTTCATGAATTGTTCTTGGAATTTGAAATGTGGAGTTCAAAATCCAGGATTAATTCATGGAATTTCAACATTAATTAGTTCGAAGTCCAGGAATAATTCATGGAGTTCAAACATTCAAAAGATAATATTACATTTTGTTTATAGCAAGGCTTGTTCGAACTCCACAACACATATGGGAGGTGCAAAAGAGGTACCATGAAAACTATTTCACGTATCGATTTCGTTGATTTTGCCTATTTAATAGTTAGACAATTATTATTATTTTATTCATGATACCTATTTCAAAACTTTATTACGAGATACCATGATTTGAAATAACCCTTTAACACTATTTCACCCATGATAACTATTTCAAACTCCATGAAAATTTAAGTTCAAACTCCATATCGTAGAAATGCACTCAATAGTCGTATATCTTAGTTTTGGTATTTCCCATGAAGTGAAAGTAAACGAACGCAAACAATTGCAAAAACGGTAACGTACATTCAGCAGCAAAGACTACTAAGGATCAGAATAGGATTCACTAATCCCCATAAAAATAAAAATAAAGGAAAAACAAAGGAATGAAGTGAGAAATTAGAATGCAAGAAATAAAGAAAGTAGGTTAAGAAGAAGAAGACGTACATACGTCAAGAAATATATAGGCACATTGTGGGGCTGGGGAAGAAGAAGAGTTACAGAAAAGTTGGAGAAGAAGCTTAGTAGAAGGGTTAAAAAAAAGTTAAACAAAAGGAGCATACTTTTGCACAACATTTTAAAAATGAGATAAAAGGTAAATACCAGCCTTAGTGGGGTACACCCCCTGCAAATTCTTATAATAAATGTAGCCAAAATTTCAGAACAATAGTCATTTTATTTGCATAACATAAAAACGTGTGGAAAAGCAGAAAAGGAAATCAGGGAACACAACTAACTCGATCAAATTGCTCAAATATTTAAAAGGGGATGTGGATAGACAATTATCAGCTGAAGATATCTTGGAGCTTTTCTTGTACAAATAACTGCAGCGTTTTGGCACTCCCTTGCCAATTCGGCAGCGTGCAAGGCATTCCGGATAGCAGCTACTGTGGCCTCACAAATTCAATGAGGTTACGGGATGATTAGACATGAAAACCAAGAGATATTCCTGTTTTCTTAGATTAGGAACTAAAATGAGAGCATCATAATACAAAACACAAATATTGTCCAGTGCAAATCTTTATGTTTTATTTAAGAGTTTGATCGCAGATACTATAAAAACGAGGAAGCTAATATATAGGTGTATGTCCACTTTGGTAAGTTCATATTAAGTAGGGACAGACAATCGTAGAGTTTCTTTTTTCTCTTGGCTGTGGTACATCTCAACATACCTTATAACATTAACTTGCAGTATAACATCTTATATAGATGACAAATCAATGCAAAAAGTATCTGTGGTGTCAGTAAAGCTTTGCTTGTGATCCCGCATATTCAGAAGTTCAGCCAGAATAATGACACGCAGATTCTTTAAGCCCCAAAAAAAGGAAGAAAGAAAAATAAGAAGTGTCCATCTTAAATTTGACAAGACAAATATCTATAGTACATGCATTCAAGTAGTATTTCATTTAAATTTATTAGCTAAAATACGCAATGCAGATACTGTCTCCGAAACACAGCAACTCCTGTTTGCAAATAACAGAGCATTTAGAACCTACCCTAAGAATACAAGTTCTTACCTCATGTTCTGATTCTGACATAAACATAAAAAATAAAACCCAAGGTGCAACCCAGCACTAACAATTACCACATACAGTGACAGCATAACAGAGGAAATGCCATAGTTATACAGAAGAAATGTTGCAGGAAAGTATACTGCGGGAGATGTAGGATAATTGCATACCAAAACATGTCTCATCAATGGATTCACTTATTCTTTAATCTGGCTGATCCCTTTGGGTCCAATACCGGAAGTACACGAACTGAATCAGTATCTAAATATGAAATTAAGGAAATTCAATCATAGTAATATATGTTGGAGAAGAAATGATCAACAGGATATGTTGGACAAGAAATTCAATCAAAGGAAATTCAAACTATCCTTTGCACTTTTTAGTAATATATGTTGGACAAGAAATGATCAACAGGATAAAATTATATTATAGAAATGAATTGTATATTGAAAGGATACAAATGTGTCAAGAAGTACACATCCTGCTGCATCCACCAGCCATGGTAGATTTGGTCCAATTTTTGACCAATCTAAGCTGCTAGCAAGTATGCTACAAAAGGGCAGGAAGACTTAAAGAAAAATATGGTGAAAGAAAAAGTTAAGAGAAAGATAAGATTCAGTGTGAGTGTGCGACTGAATAATACAAGTCGACTAATACATCCAAAGAGTGAAAGTCAGATGATGTCGGGATCTCCTCACCTTGCTACATATGTAGTATTCCCTAGCAGAGCAAATATGAACATTAGTGGATTAAGACCCTGCAAAGATTCACAGAAAATATTTTCGTAGTGAATATCATATTATTAGAAGAGACAAGCTCACAATTAATATTCTTTTTGGTAGTAAATTGGATAATTAAAACAAACCAGACAAATATATGGTTACCTCAACATTTCCCCTTCTAATCTGTAAAAGCAAATGGAGGGGGAGAAGGAACAAGAAAAATCAAGTTAGTATTGGACACTAAATTTACAATCCTGGCATCACTCTTATTTATTTCAAATAAGGTCATACATGTATAAGCAAATTTATGAAGGAACTATTTTTCTTGATGACGGTAGCATCAGGCCAGCTTGTGCACACCTAACTATTCCGTCTATGCTAGGATTTGAACTCCAAGGTTTGCACCCATTTAGTTGACCACTAGGCCAAATCCTTTGGGGCATTTATGAAGGAATATAAAGTTTTACCAATTCCATTTCAATTGCATAGGATTGCATAATATTGTTTTAGTTGCATTATGTGATCTGATTGAGTCTATATGCATTAATAGACAGTTCAGATGTTGTAGTCCTTATCGTCAATGCATTGGAACAGAATGACCACACTAAAATTATTAATGATTTTTAGATCACATACATTTAGGCAAATCTGGGGAAGGCGTCCACCCATGTAAATAGCTGCCATTCCCCAGCCAAGGAATGATCCAACTCCGCCGCTATTAGTTGTGGAGCTATTCACCATCAAGGTCATATTCACCTGTGACTCCCAATAAAAGTTCCCATCATGAATCACAAAAGAAGAAAGAGACAGATAGGCAAAGTCTTGAGTTTCAAGACTGTAATATTTGAAATGTCAAAATCTGCTTAGGATCAAAGCACAAACCACCTGTGTGTCACTAACTAAAATTGCATGTATTGAACATTCCTTAAATCTGTTTGGACTAAAGCGAATGATGCTGAGGACAATATTACAGAATTTCTGGAGTTGAAAGATTAGAAGAACGAAGAAAAAAGTCAGGGATATACTGGAAATACCATTTATTTATGCAATTTAAGGGTTATTTTGGATGGAATAGAACATCATGTGTTTCCAAGGCAGTAGTAGACTAGCCCAGTTGAAAAAATTTCAAAGGCAGCAGTAGACTAGTGCAGTTGAAAAGATCATCTTTGTCTTCCTCTTTTGTTATTTTGGTCTACAGATACCCTGATGAGCTTTATTAACTCCCTACACAGTTTAGAAGGATGCTCTTTTCTAAACTTGCCCATAGAGGAACTAAGAAGCACTGTCTTAGTGCTAAATGTGGAAGAAGAACATTGAGGCTGATCTTTTCTCAGAAAAGTCATGCTTAAGCTCATATTTAATCTTTTTGAAGGAACTTGGAATTCTTTTTTTTTTACGGAATTTGGATATTTATCCTTGAAGAAGTAACTTAAAATACGGGGAAATTGTTATACAGTAAAACTCACACCCAAACTTGCATTGGTAAATAACCTGATTCTCAAGCTAGTTTGGGTTGTGTGAATGTATGCACACTCACATATCGCCCATGAACATGATGCAGAAACCTAAAGTTAGGACAGAACGTAAGGTTAGAATTGATGTTGTATGCTGTATTTTCAGAAATGAGGACAATGTTTGGTTTTACTTTTCTATTCAAAGTTGTAATAGTTATACAATGTTTGGTTTACTTTTCTAAGCATGTATAGTTAATCCTTGTATAAAGAGTATACACCAATTTTGGTATAACTTTATAGTTTATACGACTATCAACATGGAATAACTAATTCATGTATAACTTATACATGGATAAAGCATCAAAAGGACAAAAGTGTCCTCGTCTTTTTTCTAGAAGCCTATGAAAGTCAAGCATCCAAGGTGTAAACTCATTGCTTTTTAGTTTAAAAAATAAACAAATATTTTAAATGATATCTTCCATATCCAATTTTAGTTCAATGAATCAAACACCCAACAAGAAATAATCTTTGCATTACTAATTCATGTAGTATTACTAATCCCTGCATTACTAATTCCTATATTATAATCCATGTATTGTCTGCTGACAAGAAGTTTGTGTTAAAAGAAGAAAAAAAAACTGGCTTAAGGGTACTTTGGAAACAGTATAATAATAATTAGCTAAAATTAACCAGTTGCAGAAAAAAAGTGTAAGGAAAGTTGACAAATTTTGGGAAAGATCAAAAGTGAAAAAGTAAGCTAATGCTTATGAAACATAAGAGTATATCATTACCAGGTCATACTAATCTTAATACCTGTTGAAGCTTTCTCCCCACTTGCAATACAATTCCACTTGTTGGTTTCTGTAGTCTCAGGTTATGTTTCATGCTATCTTGTTGTAGAACATTTACAGCAGAAAGGAACCATGTCACAATGGAAACCTGCAAAGGAGAGTAGAATATTAGATGCCCAAAAAGGAGAGAAATATTGCCAGCAATTTGAATATCATAGAAAAGCTCACCAAACACAACATGCGTTTTGTGTGTGGTGGAGGTGGAGAATTTGTGGCTCTGATTTCCTCAAGCAATGGCTCCTTAAAATTGAATTCTGCATCCAAAGGAGGGGTTTTGTGCGATGGAAAAGATCCAGCTGTAGGAGTATGACTCATTGATAGAGATCTTGCTGACCTGATAATTCATCAATGAGGGAGCTTCTAATAAAGAGGTATACAAATATATTTTATCATTGTGGGCAACTTAAGTAAAAGTCTGACTGTTATGTGCTTTACTGCTTTAACATAAGTAGGCTATATAAGAATGGAGTTTTAATTGTCAAATATGATGCAGTGCATTGAGAATGATTCAACTGAAAACCAGCAAAGAAGCATCAAATCTCTGTAACTAGGTCATTATGGACGAACATGCAAAGTATGTAAAGTCTAGTACAAGAAACAGTAAGCAATTACTATGTGATTTTTCAAACCGGAGGTTTATGAATTTTTTGTACCTTCTGAAAGTGGTTATCATACCTTCCTGACATAAGAAAATAACAAAGGCAGACTTTACATTCTTAATTAAATAGGAAAATATAGTTGGTTGGACTCTATTTGCAACTCAGTTATAAGCTTATCAGGAGCTGTTTTTTGTTTTGGACTCCAAATGTTTCAAAGAAGAGAAACCAACTAAAGAGAATAGCTCTTAAATATGCTATGGCAATATAATATTCACATTCACATAACAGATCAGGCTGTTTGAAAGGCTTCTGGAGAGCAATCACCCACATGTAGTATAAATCTCCTCCAGAGGACACAATAGGAGTGCGACCAGGAAGAGAAATTGGTGAGCTTTGAGAAAATCCAGATGTCGAAGACATTCTTCTGCTCTTTGACTCATCTACTCCATGATTATGCACACTTATCTTCTCGAAGTCCCCACTCTCACTAACCTTGCATTCAACATTGAGAAGACAAGCATCATCCAAAAGTAATCTTAGCATAATCTAAGAACAGAAAAATCTCTGCATAGCAGGTACACTAAAAGAACAAAAAACATAAATTTAATGCTTATTATAAGGTTATTCCAAAAGTTCCAAGAATCCAAACTAAGACAAAAGGTTAACTTGTAAAACTAGTATTTAGTTAGTTTGCTATGATTGAATAGTTAGCTGAAATAAGCCTCAAAACTGCACTCATATATCTCTTTGAGTAAGTGCACTAGTAGTCGGAAACAGTCTCTCTGCCCTTCTAGGGTAGGGGTAAGGCTGCGTACATCCTACCCTTCCCAGACCCCACTTGTGGGATTATACTGGGTTGTTGTTGTTGTTGTAAGTGCACCAGTAGCCCATGAACTTTAATTGGCTAACACTCTGACCCTTTAACTATTTTTAGGAGCAAAATTGACCTTCAACTTAGTCCGAACACTTACATTAGATTCAATAAAAATTATCTAATATATAGAATTATTTAAAGACATTTAAGAATTTAATAAGATGTTGATAAAATTTCTTCCTACTGCATTTCCTTGAATTCAACATGCTTTAAAACATACTTAACTAAAAGATAAGATTTATTCTCTTCATCTTATTTAGTTTGCATCCAAAACATTCTTAAATTAACAATTCTCAACAAAATTTAATGGAAACCAAAGAAGCGGTATGATTACTGTGCTTCAACAGTTCAGGGTCATCCTTGCTCCTAAAAATATTTAAAAGGTTATATTTCTTTTAGAAGTAGTTAAAGGTTTAAATCACTAACCCCCTTACCACTACATATTAATCAATTCTTAGCTACAGAAGCAGTTTCCTAAGGTGTCAAAAGGCCTCAGGAAAAGCTAAGTGGCACATCTTGTGGCTTTTAACTTCCTTTGGAACTCTTATTAACTGTTTAAGTTTGAAGTGTGAAATTAAAAAGATACTGAGATGGGTCATACTGCAATACCGCATTGTGGGTTAGGTAGTGTGATACATAATAGAGCCACTAGTAAAGATTGGGAAATTAAAAATGCTTGACCTTGTTGGTTATAAACTTAAAGGTCGCTGCTTTGAAGCCAAAAAAGATGCCAATGCTGGATGATATTGAAGCCATAACTAACTATTCTTTCCTTTTCAGTTTTAGAAGATAATTTTGTACTTGTTTGTTGAGTCTGAATAATCCTTTAGTCAACAGTTGCTAAAAACTGGTGAACTGACCTTCTCTATGACATTCCACTTAACAAGTTTCAGTTTCTAAGATTCCAAATATGCATTTTGATTGGCTTGTCTATTGCCTTCTTGTCATCATTTGCTTTGTGTTGTTAGTCCATTACTTCATATAGCATCTTAAATAAAGTTCAATTTCTTATAACTTTGCGTGCAAAGGTAATTCTAGTGGAAAAAGCTAGCTACATCTTTTGTCAAGTTCATGCGATCAGAGAAAGAACACCAACCGGGCCACAACATTGGATGGTAGTGTCAGATGACTTTGGACTGGCTAATAAACTTAAGGAAGTTGGTTCAGGAGGAAGGGTAAAGCCACTTGCTCCCTGATTGGCTCGCCATGGTATATGTTAGTGCTTCACTGTGCAGAAACGAAACAACAACAATAATAACTACGCCTTAACTGCCAAACAAGTTTGGGCCGGCTATATCAATTCTTACTGTCCAAGTCACTCCATTTAAGCTTATCTCAGCTAATATTAATTAAAATAAAATGTACTAGAAGTTCTTTATATTTTAGACAGGCATATAAATCTCTAGATTGTAATAATACTAGAGAAATTTGGGAGCATGGATAACTAGGTTGCAGAACATATTGCTTCAAACATGTTCTTGGGAATAATAAAGAGAATCATTCCCTATATCTCTTCTTTCTCCTCTCTTTACACCTTTAACAACTAAATAAGTAATCTCCACCAAATACACAGCTATTTTCTTCATGACAGCCATAATAAAAGCATTATTTTATATGTTTTATTAACTCAGGAGTAGCAACCTTCTGACTTGGAAAAGAAACAAGCAATCCACAGACAGAGATAAAAAGGAAAGAAAATATTTAACATATTGGCATTATAAGAAGCAAGAAAGAAATTCCTTACTTCATGCCATCTTCTGTTGGATTCTAGTCGCGGATAGATATGGGCATAATACAATGTTTGTGAAGTGAGAATAAGTGTTGTCACCGTGTACAGCTGCCGTATATAAAAGTAGAATTTTATTCTGTCAAAGACTTGCATAGAATAATTACCCCAGCATAACAGAGAGCAATGATTTAGACTACAGAAAATTTGTTACCATTGCCATGTAGTACTGGGTTGGAAGCTGTAAGGAAAAAGTATCAGTTAGCTTACAACATCATATTTCTGGTTAACATGCAGCACATTCCACTATCTAGAAATTGTCACAGAGAGAGCACACGAGAAGAGAGGAGAGAGAGAGAGACCCAAATCTCTTATTGACTCAGGCAAATTTGAAGCACTTACTACTCCAAAGGGATTACATAAACAACATTTCATTTCTCGTATTGGTAACCCAATGAAGATATATAATAAGGTTAAAACTGCCACAAGATAAACGAGCTTACATTTATACTTAACATTAGCCAGTTAGATCCTCCAAAAGTCAAACTAATCAAGGGCGTCTAGTTCCTAACGTACAAACACTAAAGAGAAATATGAGAAAACAAAATCAATTTCAAAGTGTAACAATCTGCTAATATGAGAAATAAATGTTGTGAATCTGCTTTAATAATATGAGAAAACACTCAAATCTGCTTTAATAAGAGTTAGCATGTGAATCCAGAAAATTTACCATAATTAGTCTATTGCGTGAATCTGTACCCTTTTCAGCTCACCACAAAGCTACATTTGTATTGGTAGATCAACTTTGGCATCCAGAAAACAATGAGATTGAGTAAGCATTTTCATATTTGCTACCAGGATTACAATGAAGAAACTGTTTTTGACCTTTCTATTCTGTTGTATTAATTTGTTAATTCGTCCAACCTTGTTAAGTTGTTGCAGAAGTTGTATTGACACTGATTCATCTGCTAATAAAGCTCACACTGCAAGTTGTGAGGCCGTATTCTATTGAGCCAATACCTTTACACAAATTAAATCACAAGCATGCCAACAAAAAGAAAGAGCACAATCTGTAGTTTCTTTAGTGCTAAAGGATGAAGCAGTGAGTGAAACTATAATAATGGAACCACATCTTCAACCCTATGCCTTTGTGCCAAGAAAAGAAGTCAATAATCCAACTTCATTGATACTATGCCGCATTACTTCAATATCAAATCCCCGATTAATTTAGAAGAAAGAAATTGTTTTCTCGAATTTGTTTAGACATAGAAGTACAGGCCTGAACAGAACGGCATACAAGCACAAAGGATGAAGGCACATCTATTTTAAATACGGTAACATCCACGTGAAGCTCATAGTTTCAGTGAAAATATATGGAGAGGCGGAAGTGAGAAGTATGAATTAAGTTCAAATGCAATGGATTTCTGCAGCCTGGAAGCAAATGAATGACGTACCGTGGCTGGTTCTAGCATGCAACCAAAAAGGTTGAAAAGATCCCTGCAGAGAAAATAAAAGGGGAATTTATATTTAGAACTAGTATCTCTGAGTATCAGAATATAAAAAATGATTGGAAGGTGGTGTATCATTTTTTTGTTTTTACATTTCACAATTGTACGAAGAACCTGAAGCACTGATAACATTTAATGAACTTACTTGTATTGTACTCTACTAGTTTATCAATGAAAAAAGGTAAAAGAAAATATTACCTACTTTGAGTTCAGATGAGAAGTTTATTCCTATTACTCATATCTATTATAAAGGAAAAAGCAAAAAATATAAAGTGCCTGATCAGTCACATAAATCCTGCCATCATCTGTATCAGCTTGGCACAATGGATTGATTCAATGTCAAATTCCACTAAAGGATAAGGAGAAAAAATACTCTCTACCAATAGTCATTTTCCCAAAAAATATCACAAAGACCTCTATAGAAAATGAGTGTGAAAGGGCATTGGAAACCAACATTTCCAGTTTAACAAAAAACAAAACAAAAAAAATAAATTAAATAAAATAAAATATTGATCTGCTTGTACAGAATAACAGCTATCAACACATGCACACCCCTTGGAATCTTTCAGGGGAAGAAGGAATATATAGCATGTCAAAGTAGTGGAAGGTTTCCTTTCTTATTGATTTTACCAAAAGGGAAGATAGAAATTAAACGAAATGCAAAGAGGACTATATGCTAAAGGACTGGATAATGAACAGAGGATGGAAGCGCACAATATTCATAAATTTCAAATTTGAGAAGAAACTTTCATGGTTTGAAGGCCAGAACTAATGAGAGCATTAATATGCAAAAAAGCAAATTTCAGTTACTAGTATTGATCTAAACAATGAACCACTCAAGACTCCTCAATACAAATACCTACAAGATTTTCTATAACCTAGAAGAGACAGAAAAACCAAAACTAGCAAGCAGAATTGTAACTAACCATTAGAGAAACTAATGTCTAGAAAAGTCAGTTAGAAACTAATATAAATACGAAGCTTTGTAGTTTGTACTAATTGAAAGCAGTCTTTTACTGATCTGCATTCAAGAAGGCTTCACAAATATGTTGGGGATAGATGTTCAAAGTTCATACTGCAGAAGTGTAACACCTGAGAGATGTAGGGATTAAGAGCTCCATAGCATAATATAGCAAAAGTGCATGGCCACTGCAGAAAACATTCTGCTACTCACCCAACAATCCAAGCGAAGAGGAAAAAGAGAGAGAGGCCCTCAGTGGATTTCTGCTTGTAATTAGTAATGATTTGGGGTATCTCTGCAACCCCCCAACTCACAACACTAATCAATCCCAACGCCAATGAGACTGTAGCCATTGAAGACGAACTTCCCAGGTTTAACATTTCACCCATAAACAGAGAGTTTCACTCGTGTACCTACACACCACATATTTACATATGTAGTACACTGTCATAAAACTGATACAACTAAATACTATTAACTTTCTAGCTATAACCACCAAGAGCAAAATGCTTTATTTCTTTTATATAAATCCATGAATAAAGAAAAATTAAGAACTGTTTTACACACTTGCTCCAATTTATATGATAATATTTCCTTATTAAACCATTTAAGAAAGAATGACACATTTTTATATTTGATAACAATTTAACTTTAAACAACACTAAAATACTATGAAATGTTTAATACCACAAGTTTCAAAAGTCATATAACCACACAAATGTTATGGCATGTTTAAGACCCCAAGTTTCAAAAGTTTCTTCCTCGTTCCCTTTCGTGTGAATTCCCCAACGGCGAATTCAAAACTTGTGGGGCCATTTTGATTCTATATATGCGAGCACCTGACATCTATGAGTGTTCCCCCATCCAGTTACAGCGTTCCTTTCTATTGGGCCTAAAATCTCTATTTTTGCTAATATTTCATGTGCTTCTATTTATGGTGCTTATGGAGCTACATTGCAACATTGCTTCTATATCTTTGTTTCTTTCTTAAAGTTCGTGTCAACTCAAACTCTCTCACATAAATTGGAACTCAGAGAATAATAATCTATATGAAAATACATTAGCATAAACCTATGCTATGAAAGCTAGAAACAAATTCTTATCAATTAGCGTAAAGACCGAAATCATGATAGTATAAAGTAAGAAAATATTAATAATATTTAGGAACCTCTTTATAGTTATTTGTATATTCCAATTCAGAAAAGAAAAAATCAAGTGACGTACACGCACAGAAGGGAAAGGAATAATATCCATCATTTATTAGAATTGGAGGTGAAAGAAGTTTCATACATGCACATGTGCTTGGTTTACGACAATACTTAAAAGAATGTAGATATTGAGAATGATAAGCTAAAAAAGTTACAGTGATAATGCTAGTCTAAGAGTACATGTGAACTCACGCAGGCATGTGGCAACGACAATGGGAAGGAGAGTAATGAGTAGTGTGTAAAGAGAGAGAAGAGAGAATGGGTGGTGGTGGTTTTTGCTGGTTTGCTGGAGTTTAGCGTTCGGCGTTATGGTGAGCTTGAGTTGGCGTAACGAGAAGGACGTCTTTGGCCAAGCTCACCGATTTTAAACATTTTGATTTAACCCTGCTCCACCTAAGCACGGCAAGTGGGCCGGGCAGACCCACATAGTTTATGGATCTGGGCTAGGAGCCCTTAAGGGATTGGGAGGGGCTCAAGTTTTCTGACTAACGTCTGGCCCAAATTTTGGCCCACCCGGCGGATCAACCGCATGAGGGGGTGATTGACAAGAATGTCAGTCTCATAACAGATGGTCTTTAAATACTGTCTTCAATTTTGAATCTATTTAAAAATAACCCCCAGATATGCGCACGCAATTATTGCTCTTAAGTAACTTTTGTCATATTTGTAAAATTTATGTTATATTTATGTCATGTCTCGGGGTTGGATGTAACACGATACCCGGTGCCTAATTATATATGACCGAGCGAATCAACTGGCTGACTGAATCAACATGTGATATCATAACATACCGAATGCGGAAGATAAACTAACACATGCTAATACATTGAAAGTCTGAATGATATAAATCAAGTGCAAAAACACTAATTTCTGCAACATATCTGTAGCCAACAATACTTAACATGAAAAGCATATGACTCTGCCTAACTGTTACTCTAGTCTATGAAACCTCTAATGAAGTACTGAGAATATTGACTGTTTGTTAATACTGAAAGCTGTAAAGTAATGATACTGCCCCGAAAGATTTGGGGCTCACCAAATAGCTGGTACAAGAATCCTAGGGCTCTGAATCATCAATCCGTAAATCATTACCTGCATCATGAGATGCAAGCCCCAGGCAAAAGGGACGTTAGTACATTTGAATTGCACTGGTATGTAAAGCAACTGAAAGAAAGAACTGTAAATACTGAAACTGAACTGATAACCGATAACTGAACAAAGGAAGTAAGGATATGAATACTCCCTCTTCAGAATAATGAACCACCTGTTTATCTGAATAAATAAAATGTCGCCCTAAGCCCAATATATATGTGCACAAGCTGCAGCCTTGGGCTCAAGTATACGTATACATAACTGTGGCCTCAAGCCTAAAGATGCATAAAGCATAAACTGTAGCCTCAGGCCTAAAGATGCATAAAGCATAAATTGCGGCCTCAGGCCTAATATATATGTGCACAAGTTGCGGCCTCGGGCTCAAGTATATGTATACATAAGAGTGGCCTCAGGCCCAAAGATGTATAAAGCATAAATTGCAGCCTCAGGCCCAAAGATGCATAAAGCATAAATTGCAGCCTCAAGCCTAAAGATGCATAAAGCATAAACTGCGACCTAAGGCCCAAATACAGGTATTCAACATTCAGGGATTTTAAATCAGGAAAGGAGAATCATACTGCAATATATGATACTAAAATACTGAACCATACTGAGTTACATGATACTGGAATGCTGAATAGAACTAGACGGAGACATGTATTCATGAAGTGATTATGAGAACTAAAGCTTCAACTGTTTATGACATGCTGAGTAATCTAGATTGAAACTCATGGGCATCAAACATAAGTCTATATTGATTACGCACTAAGCTCACAACGTTTAGAATGAAAGTCATGAACGAATTACGAAGCTTGAGAATAGATGTTCTGCAACTATTCAAGGAACTAAACTTAACTATATTTCTGAGGTAATTAGTAATGTCATAAAAGAAACATAGTGTAGGGAGAATCATTAACATTCCCAAACATAGAGAGTTAGCCTCACATACCTTAACTTGATGCTCTTGAGCGTAATACAATGTTTGTCAACCCTTTCAACTTTAATCTATAACAATACAAGTCAAAGGGATTTTGCATTAGCAATAATACTCATGTTTTCGTCACTTATGCATTTTATCAAACACTTGATGGGCATAAAGCTTCATCGCCCTTATTAATGGTGTTTCTACACCCAACAACCCATTATCTAGCTCCTAGATAATTCTAAGATCTCAAATTATTATAATCAATATATTTCTTCGTCACCCATAAGATAAATAACACATTTAATCAGTAAACAACAACTAACTATCCAAACCTATAATTGTTCATACTTTTCTATCAAAAGCATCAACTCATATCTCAGGAACAGCTGGGCGCGCACATGAACGCGCAGACTGTGTATTACCCAGTAAAACATGTATAACGTTTGCACAAAGATCCGTTTAGGCTCCATAATATATCATTGGAAATATATTTCAAAGAGCTAGAACTCTAATGTTTTATGTTTTCCCAAACACTCAATAGATTTTCACGAAATCTTGCTGGAAAACAGACCTTTCATAAACTTAGTCGGCTTTATCGAATCTTATGCACCCCACTCTCCGTCTTGACTCCAAAATAACTATTTTCACCCATACTCATCCTGATAGGATCTCACATGTCTAAAATATCATATTAATACTCATATAACGCATTTACACCTAGTCCAAATTTACGGAGTGTTACAATTTATTCCACCTATTTGTTCACAAACTTTACCAAATAGGCATGGTTTTATGTTTGATCAATTGTTCACCAAACTTGTCAAATTTGCATAACTTTGTGTATATCGACAATAGACCTATCTGTTAAATTATTCATCAATATCTACCTGGTTGGCATGATTTTGTGCTTGTTTTAAATTTTTTACCAAATTCTATAAAATTAGCGTGACTTTGTGTTATCGTATTCGTCCTATCTTTTAAATAGTTCATCAGAGTCTACCCGACTGACATAATTTTCATGTGTTCTTCAACAAAATTTCTCAAATTTAGTTTGCAATTCTATTTTCTATCAAACCACCACATATCTGCTCCAAATGATCTCAAATTTGAAACAAAGCATCTCATTACCAACACAAATGATCTCAGTCGTCAATTTGTCAAAATACACCAAATCAAGAATACCTATTTTGTTGTATCTAATACTTTCTCAGGACCAACAATGAAGTTTTTAGATTTTTAAAGCAAATCATTAAATCAGTTTTTGAACCAAAAATTTAATCACAAATAATAAACATTGAAACTATTTTAGCAATAATCAGTTATTAACTTTCAGCTTTTATGCACAAACAAGAATTTCAAGCTTTTAAAATTAAAGAATTATGGTATTCTTGGTGAAGAAGAAGGATGGTAAAGAAGGAACTGAAGGGAAAATATGTTATTTGGCACACGGGAAAAAGAGGCGGAATCCATTTATTAAATATCGTCAATTAATTGGACATTCAACTAAAAACCAATCCTATTAGGGGAGATGCCACGTAAATTTTTTGCGCTTACATAGCACGGTAAATTCTAGGGATAATTTGAAATACTTTGGCCAACTTCTTTTTTAAACCTCTGGTCCACCTCTCGCTTATCTCTCCCAAGTCCCACGTGACTTTTCCCAATACTCAGTCCCTTTTTTTTCTTTCATTGCATCATCTCATTCTTTCCCCTTTCCTAAAATCTCTCTCTCAGATCTCTATCACAAGAAATCCAAGACTTTTTTCTAGTGCGGATAATGGATAGACCTTAGTACTGGCGTTATCCACCCGAACTCGGTGGTCATATTTTTAGAGGCAGTCACTAAGATGAAAACACCGATGATGAGGGATCCAACTGTAGATAATAAATTTACGTCAAGAAAATAAATCAAGACCGAAAATATTGCAACAATCGTAGTATTTTATTTTTCAAATATTTGAGTGTTACAATCTCTATGATTCCTCTGATTCTACTCTTCTAGTATAAATTCAAGGGCCTTCGAGCTTGATCTTGAATTTGAATTTAATTTATCCATCGCGAACACTTTGATTGTTGCCACGAATTTTATCACGAACAAGTAGCCTTGATCTTGTATTTGATTTGACTTCGTTCTTGATCTTGAATACTTGAATTGTTCTTCGTTTTTGAGCTTGAAATCGATTCGTTCTTCGTTCTTGAACTTGAACTTCGTTGCTTGAAGCCTGAAACTTGTAGAGAAATTTGCCCTGTTTGATCCACGAGCTCTTTTTTGCTTCTTGTTATAACTTCTGGTCCCTTTTCTGGGTTATGAAGACCCCTATTTATAGTTGTGGAAGGGAGGAGTTATATATGATAAGGACAAACTCTTTCCGACCAATCAAATTGAAGTGTGATATGGCCGCATTTGATTGGCCAGAATATGTCACTTGCACACGTAGCACGATTTCATTAGCCTTTCAGTGTGACTAGGCATGCCTTGTCATTTTGACACGTGGCATGGTCCTATTGGCTCTTCCGCTTGACTTAGCGTGCCACGTCATTTGACTAACCGCCTTATACACCTGATCCCACATTGTCAAATAACTAACCACACCTGCTTCTCGAATCTATATAAAACCCATGCTTGTATTTGTTGTGTATTGGGAAAATCGAGTTTACATATTGAAGTGATTGGAAGATGACGTGTCATGACACGAAGGCTGGTCAAAGAGTGATGATTGGCAAAGAGGCACGAGTTGTAATAGATACGAGCAGAAGGTACAAATAGAGGCACGAACAGTTATTCAAAAGACTCAACGCTCTTACCTATTTATACTCAAAAAATCAAGGAGAATGAATCTGATAACATAAGAGAGTACAGATACAGTATTTAATAAGCAGTAAATACTAAAAACGTTATAGAATCTGTATTAAATTACAATTATTATGTAACATAGTATTTAATGCCTTTAATTGTCTATAGTGGCCTAATTATAACAAAGGCAAAACGTATATCTTTAAGATAGCTATAAAAAGGAGAGGATGGATCATTTGTAAGGACACGAAAGATCATCTGAATATACTAGTTTACTTTGTTTTCTTATGTCTAACTTATTGTTAGCAAAATCACTTTTCTTTATTCAGTTTTGATTATCAGTAACTCGTGTTCTTCTAAATTAAAGTTTTGACTGAAATTCCACTTTTTGGTTAAACAAATTGGTTCTGTTACCGAGAATCTGATAGTCTACTCTTTCTTATCCTAACCTTTTTTGTTGCATCAACTATGTCGAACATCAATGACAACACCCAAGGAAACCAAGGAAACCAACAA